TCGGCAGCGTGGGGTGTCGGCGGGACGTCGTCTATGCTGCCACCCAATCCGAGGGGGTCATAAAAGTCCTCGTCGGCGTCTTGGAGGTGAGCGACGTCATCATGTGGGTGCGGTGCCGCTCTCGGTGGCGGAGTCGAGGTGGGCGTCGTGCGGATGCCCGACGGGGCAGGGTTGGCGCTGGCTGGCCCGTCGTCCAGGAAGTCTAGTCCCCCGCCGAAGCCGAACGGGTCGTCCTCCTGTTCGTCGTACATCGCCCGTTGTGCCTCGGCCCAGAGCTCGTCAGGGTTCTGCGGGATGTCTGGTCCAGCCGCAGGTGGTGCCTGGTCCGACAGCAGGGGGTTTGGTTCCATTTTGCTGAGTTCAGCCGCTGTAAACCCAGCCCTGCGGTGTGGGAGCGGCAGAGTACGGTGTCTGCGCTCGTAGATGGCGACAGCGACCCCGTGGAGCACGGTCGCTTGGCGATGTCGTGTTTTGGCAGCTTCAACGATGTCGTCGGAGAGGTTGTGCGTGCGTGCCGCCGCTGTGGCAAGGGCGTCGGCCTGACGGTTGAACTCCTCCGCGATGGGCCCGATGAGCCCACGGTCGATGCCCAGGTCTCCCAGGTGGCTGGCGACTTTTTCGACGCGAAACATGTCGGGCTTGGCCATGACACATCTGTGAATCCTTGCCCAGAGCTCCGCGTGCGTGCCCTGCGGCGCTGGATGTCCGTCGATGATGCTTTGAAACCCATCGACCACCGCCTGGTTGTCCACGAAGACGTGCACGGGCCGTTCGGCACACGCCGTCAGGTGGACGATGGCAAGGGTCTCCGCAACCTGGGCGTTCTGCGTTAGGCCGTGAACGCGTGCACTGTAGTTCATGCGGTGGTCGATGCCGTAGTAGACGCCGTAGCCCGCTCGTGCTAGGAGTGGGATGGCTTGGTTGGTGCACGCACCGTCCGTGGCAGCATAGACCCATGTCCATCCAGTGTCGTTGTCAAGGTAGGTGGTGTAGGTGTCCTGGGCTGAAGCCGCAGGATCACCCTCAGGGGGGGGCCGCGGGATGGGCTGTGGCAGCGGGTCCCTCGCGAGGTCGGCCTGCAGGTCGAGGAGGGCTGGGTCTTCGTCGAAGAGCCCGCAGTGTCTTGTGTGCGGCGGAAGACGGGCCCACTGGTCGTCACTGATGAGGGTGGTGAGAGGAACTCTTTCTCGGGCCCAGCACTTACAGTCGCGGACAGTGTGCTCCTGAGTTTCCTCTTCCTCGTCGCAGTAGCGGCACATGGGGCTGAAGTCTGCCGACGTGTTGGATCGGGATCGTCGCTGTTGGGTGTGGTCCCCGCCCGACAGGTAGTTTAGGAGGAGCGCCAGCTGCCAGGCAGTGCATTTGGCTGCTCCTTTGGTTCGGGCGAGCCACGTGCTGGCGAAGAGGTCAAGGCCCTGTCTGACCGAGGCGAGGTAGCCAAGGTCGTGTCGCCGTGGCTTGATCTTGCGCAGAAATGCCCTGCGTTGTGAGGCCCGCAGCATGTGCAGGAAGGCGTTTTGGGGTAGATTCAGCCAGCTGATCGGGCAGCCCCAGTCATCGTACATGATGCCGAATGTGGGCCAGGTCCATCGGAGCTGCTGGAGCGACTGGACGAGTCGCCCGACGGGTCCTCCACCAAACAGGGTCTGGACGTGGTGTTGGAGGTCTCTGGCGAGCCCGCAGAGTGTGACGTCGCGGTTAACCTGACGCCGCAGGCACAGGAATGCTTCACGCTGCGTGATGGCGTCGATCTCAAGGGCGTGTCCCGGCACGCACACGGCCATGAGAGTCCAGAACTCGACCCACTTGTTCCCCTTGGGGCGGATAGCCGCCTTGAGGGCGTGGTTGTAGGCAGTCTTGGCTGGGCCTGATGGTGCTTGGATGTCGGTGCCCGTGGTGCAGACGCTGGCGGCCAGGGATCGGGCGTGCCGCGCCTTGATAAGCATCGGCGACGGGAGCTTGCCAATGCGCGGCAGGCGGATAGTCGCCCTCCGCACACGGGCGTCTGCGGTGGCCGTGAGGTTAAGCGCGGCTGGAGCCGGCGCTGCCTCGGCGTTGATGTAACTCCCGACGAGCTTGAAGGAATCGACCACTCGGAGGGGGCGATCCGCCAGTGTGAGCTGGGTGACGGCGGCGTGCAGCTCATCGGTGAGCGCCCACCCTGCCACTTTACCAGGGTGAATGCGTTGACCGGAGAATCGGTCAAACTTGGCGGTTTCGTCGAGAGATTTCTGCAGCTCAGGAGCGGTGTGGGTAGTGGAGTTGCTGTCGTCAACGAAGGTAGTGCTGAGTGATCGAGGAACGTATCGGTGCTGCCTCTTTGTCCACACGCACATGAGCAGCTTGATGTCATCCAGGGACCACGAGCTGCCCTGGAGGTGACCGTTTGTCCTGGCCAGGTCCCTGGAGTACGCTCCGTTCATGCGGATGTAGCGTTTGTGGTGTCTGTAGAAGTTTCGGCGGACAGTAACGATGTCTTGTGGGCACCCCGCGTGCAGCG